TCAGGGCCAAGCCAGCTCCGATCAGCCAGAACCCTGTTACCATGGTTCCGAATAGGTAGATATCTTCAGCACTCAGGCTCACCCAAGCCCAAACTTCCCGTTGAGAAAGGGGTGTCAATTGCATTTAGGGACCAGTTGATCCAATCCATAATTCCTCTTTTAGGTTTTAGAGAACAGACTGTGAGAGAGTGTTCCAGGGAAAATACAAAAAAAAACCCCCCACAAGACTAGACAAGGACATAAGCAGGGAAGATAAGGGAGAGGAGAAAAAGTGCGTCCGCCTCCTCCGAGAGCCAAAGACTGTCACTGATGAAATTTGATCAGGTTATATTGAACTCATGATTAACTGTGGTCTCCCTTTGTTGTTTTGTTTAGATTGTTTTGTATTATTCTGGAAATGAATCCATTAATAATGCATTAATATGAAAACACAATGTTATGAAAGTAAAAGTAAAATAGTTATAATTTAATTGTCTTTGCTATAAAGTTTAATTGTGATGCTTAGCTTCGCTTTGAGTGTGAAACATTCATTTTTTATTGGAGCAATTTAACTAAAGGGCACACACACAAAAAATGAGAGCCTGTTAAATACACACACTCACGCACACACACACACACACACACACACACACACACACACACACACACACACACACAGAGTGACAAACACGGAGGATAGCGTTTTAAAACGAAACAGGAGCTGACAAGATGGTTTTGATTATTTGTGACTTGAGAGGAGGGATGTCACCTGGGAAGTGTGTTACGGCTGGGAAATCTGGACACAGTAAAAAAAGAAGAGGGAAAAACAGGAGAAAAAAACCCTGGTAACATCAGAAGTAGGCGGGTGTAAAAGTTGGCTGGTGTGACCTTTGGCCTCCCTCTCTCTCGACTACTCCCTTTGAGTCGCTAAAAGGCGTGCGGTGTGAGTAGCCAGAAGACAGCTGCGCCCCCACCCAGCTCTCTCTGGGAAACCGAGGTCCTCTTTCTCAACGCGTTTTAAATGCAGTGGGGTCAGGAGCAGCCGGGGCCCAGTTGAGGTGGTCCAGCCACGGATAAAGTTTCACTGCTTTACATGGCCAGTCTGGACTGTGTGTGTGTGTGTGTGTGTGCGTGTGTGTGTGTGTGTGTGTGTGTGTGTGTGTGTGTGTGTGTGTGTGTGTGTGTGTACATTACAGAGACAGAAAGAGAGGCTACTTGTGGAAAACTACTCTACTGTTATCTCTCTATAAAAGGAGAAAAGAAACTCGCTACTGTGATTAAAAACATCCTCTCTTTCTCACATGGCTATCTTCCACACAGCTATTAAAAATCTATTCACATCCACACATGCTGCAGCTCATGTATGCAGAGAGACAATGATTTAAATTAAATCCAGTAACTGTATGCTCACTTTAAATTGTTAAATTGTTGATATACAATAAAACAAAAGAAATGCTTGAATCTCCAGGTTTAACAGCCAAACATGAATTAAGGCCTGGGTGACCTCTGATTTCCTATTTGTAAAACTGAGGTTATTGTACGTGTCCCTAAAAATCTTAGAAATATGGTGTTTAACCAGGTGCTTAGTCTGGATGGCATTTCAAACTCCAGTAACACTGTGGGGAATCTTGGAGTCGCATTTTATTTGAATATGTCCTTCAATGTGTGTATTAAGCAGATATATACGACTATGTAGGATTACTTCTTTGTATTTGTGCAATAACCTTAAAATGGGAAACATCCAGTCTCAGAACGAAGCTGAAAAACTAGTTCATTACTTTTAGGCTGGATTCCTGTAATTCGTTATTACATCAAAAACTCCCTGCAAAGACTTCACTTGATCCAAAATGCTGTAGCGAGAGTGCTGACAGGGACTAAAAAGAAAGAACATATCTGTCCCATATTAGTGTCTCTTCCTTGGCTCCCTGTTAAAATCCAGAATCAAATTTTCTCCTCACATACTTGAATAATTAGACCTTGTATTTAAAGACTTCAAGTCAAGTCAAGTCAAAGTTTATTTATATGGCACATTTAAAAGACTAGTGTACATCAAAGTGCTTCACAATAAAACCGCAGAGCGGGCAGAACAAAGAACAAATAGTACAATTATACTTAAAATTGAATTTACATGGTGTAGTGCAGGCCGACAAAAGCTAAGTTAAACAAGTGTGTTTTTAAACAGGATTTGAACGATTGAACTGATTCCGAAGTACGGATTTCGACTGGGAGATTATTCAAGTGTCTAGGAGCAGCAAAGGCAAATGCACCGTCACCTCTGGTTTTTAAACGAAACCTTGGTTGCATTAGGAGCAGTTGGCTGGAGGATCTTAGTGATCTCTTTGGGTTGTACGGATAGAGGAGATCAGTTAAGTAGCTAGGGGCCAGGTTATTTAGAATTTTGAAATCAATGTGATATTTGATGGGAAACCAGTGTAGGTTGGCGAGGACAGGGGTGGTGTGCTCATGCCTTCTAGTTCAAGTTCAAAGTTTATTCTAGTTCTGGTTAAGAGGCGTGCTGCTGCATTTTGGACTAATTGCAGGCGCTGAAGGAGGGAGAGTTGGAGGCCCAGGTAAAGAGAGTTGCAATAGTCCAATCTAGAAGTGATGAAAGCATGGATACATTTTTCGCATTCTTTATGTGGTAAATAAGGCTTAGCTTTGGAAATTTGGTGTAATTGATAAAAGCTGTTTTTTAGCACAGTGGATACTTTCTTGTTTAATTTAAAAGAACTATCGATGAGCACTCCGAGGTTTCTGGCAGAATGAGAAAGGTGGTTGGCCAAAGTCCCATTATATCAGTTAGCTGGCCCAGGGGAACGTGGCTATCAAAAACGATAATTTCTGTTTTGCTTTCATTTAAGATAAGCGAGTTCTGGGATAGCCAGTCTTTAACCTCCTGCAGACATTCGAACAAAGGCGAGAGTGGGGACAAGGCATCCAAATTTGTGATAGCAGATGTTATGTTTTTTAAAGATGAGTCCCAAGGGCAGCATGTACAGGGAGAACAGCGTGAGGCTTAATACGGACCCCTGAGGCACACCACAATTAACAGGGGCAGAAGAGGAAGAGTATTTCCCAAAGGTGACAGAGAAGGATCTGTCTGATAGATACGATTTAAACCATGAAAAAACATTACCTTTAAGGCCAACTACATGTTCTAGCCTTGTTAGGAGAATATTATGGTCTATCGTATCGAAAGCAGAAGTTTGATCTAATAAGACTAGAGCCACAGGGTGCCCAGAGATAATTAAAAAACTCAATAAGGCTGTCTCGGTACTATGACGGGGTTTGAATCCAATTTGTCACTGACACCACATGTCTCTAAGAAGGACTGAAGTTGCTGGTGAACCATTTTTTTCTAAAAATTTTAGACATGAAAGGAAGTTTAGAGATTGGCCTGTAGTTTGAAGGGGTGTTGGGGTCAGCATTGCTTTTCTTGATTACAGGTTGTACGGCTGCGTGTTTGAAGGTAGTCGGAACACAGCCTGATGACTGTGAAGAGTTCATTAGAAGTAAGATAGAGGGACCAATAGTAGTCAGAGCTTCCTAAATAATGTGGGAAGGAAGAATGTCATGCAGCGTATGATTAATTATTTCTTTCAGAGTTGAAAAAGATACAGGCTCAAACTTTTGAAAAACCATAGCGCATTCAGAAACTGGGGTTTGGTTAACTGCCGGTAGATATGGTGCCCTTAGTGCTGAAATTTTACCTATAAAGCAATGTAAGAATTCATAGTATTGTATCATGCCAATACTTACCTTCAGCTTTCGGGCCTCTCTTCTGTACAACCAGCTCCCAGTTTGGATTTGAGAGACAGACACCCTCTCTTCTTTAAAGATTAGGCTTAAAACTTTCCTTTTTGGTAAGCATATAGTTAGGGCTGGTATAGAGGTGAATTGAATTACAAAGAGTAGTGAAATGTGGCTGTCTTTTTAAGTTCCTGCGTGGGTGTCTTGTGTTTGTGTGCTGCAACCATGGTAAAAAGTAGATTGAATAGTTATACAGCTATTCATCCGTCTTCAAATGACTCAGAATGTGCAATGATTAATTTTCTGAGAATTTCACCATCACTCCTATTCATTATCTCAGGTGATTTATTTAAATGATTTGCTGGGATCAGGAAAGCTAAATAGAAATCCTTGGCAGTTATAAAAGGGTCATTTTATGTTGACTTAAGTGGAATGTAAAACTGAAAAGTGAGCACCCCCCCCCCCCCAAAAAAACAAAACAAAACAAAACAAAACAAAACAAAACAAAACAAAAAACAGAAAAGACAGCAGGACTGTAAACACAATAGGTCAAATATAGCTGAGGAATTAATTGAACCAAGGTCAAGAGCAAACTTAAAAAATGAGAATTGGATGCAAAAATGCATAAAATGTCCTTTGACTGCTCAGAAATTCAGATTGAATAATCAGTCTTCTAGAATTTAATAATAAACGTCCCGTGTAAGCTTTCCACGTTGCTCTGCAGGACTTATTTATTATTATGTTGCTGAATTCACGATGCATCCATGAGTACAATATATAACAATATTACTACCAACAGGTATGCTAGGAAAAAAAAAAGCAGCAAAAACAAGCAGACAAAAAAAAATGGAATCATATTAAAGAGAGAGTGAGAAAGAGAGAGGACGTTGATTCATATTGGACTCTTCCTTTGTCTGCAGTCATGCACTGGGATTTACAGTGATTAGAAGTCCGGCACCACCCTTCATTGACCAGGAGCTCTGGGCCTGGTGCTCAATACTCTTTGTCTGGCCACGGAGGCCATGAGTTAATGTGCTGAACACGAGAACAGGATGGTGATGTGGGGAGGGAGAGAAGCAGCCTGCACCAGATTGATCTGCTGCATCTCAGCGGACTGCAGGAAGCAAGCGAGCAAACTCACGACTGTGCTGTAAATTACACTATTTTGCACCAGGTGCACACACTCACTCATGCACACTCACACACACACACACACAGAATAAAGACAGACTCTGGATTCATTATCACTAGAGCTAGTTTATTATCACTGTTATTGTTTTTTTTTCTCCTATCAGTGTTGCACAATGAACCCTAAAACAATACAAACCACTAAAAATGGTCTATTTTTCCTTTAAAGCATATACATACACACATACAGTATATACACTATATGTGGATATGTATGCAGATTACAATTTATAGTTGCACCAACATGGTCTCTAGAGAGAGCATAGAAACAAAACCTTTTTATACAGCAGTGATCCATGACAGCTCTCTGAGAACACTTTTAAAACTATCTAGTGTTGACCTGAAGTAAACTGTGGGAGAGAAGCAGATATCGGCAGTGACCTCAGCAGACAGACGGACAGACAGACATGATTATGCATGATCATGAGCTAAATGTAAAATATTGTGCTCCTTTATTCCTTTGCAACTTTTTTTTTCTTTAACAAAATCTGAGTAACACAGGCTACACCATATAGTTGCTCTTTTTAAACTTCTGGCACCTCATTTGAACCCTGCTGGGAATAAATGGTTATAGAATAGAACAGAAATTTTGCACATTTTAATACAGCATGTAAAGCCAGTAGAAACAAATCTACAGGGCAGATTTTTCCTACGGTGCCCTTTATCGTAGTTCAGACTTGGACCATAAAGACACTGCTTTTAGAACCAACATTAAAATATAATAAGACATTTATATAATGATGCATTTCTTAAAAGATGTTGATTTAAAAAAAGCATCATGAGCCAAATGTGCTTAAAAGTAATGCCTCCTCTGATTAGAGATTACAGTGAGCCCCAAGTCAATGTTTGACGCAATATATTGACAATATATCAGCATGTAAAAGAAGATGCATTTTTACCAGACAGCAAATTGAATGTTTTTGGATGAAGCAGATTAAAACTGAATAATCAGGGAGGTTTCTTTTCTGAACTGTTTGCTTCTTATTTATTCGTGAATATTTAATGTACTAAGGAAATGTGTTTCGTGGGCTTTAAACCCAGTAATTAAACTTCACCGATGGAGCAGTCTCGAGCTCTGCAATCACTTCTCAGCTCTGGAGGTGGTGACAAGGTGTGGGAGGTTTAAATCCTTGGCGTGGAAACATAGTTCATTTAAGAGGTTTAATGATTAAAAATAATCCCATCAGCATTTTTTTCTACTTTTATACAAAATTCTTGGTGAAACCAGAAACTCTGGGTAAGAACAGGTCACACATTCATACGCCTACATGGTTTAGTATGTCAACATCATATTGACATAACTTTCTAAATTTCGTTTTGCCTGCAGTGCTGCAAGTTGAAGTTGCTGTGCATGTGGAAATTTAGCAATGCATCTCTCGTAAGAAGCTGTTGCTCACTACAGTGCTTGGCACTGGGGTTTACACCTGCAGTGTAGATCCTACTCAGGAGCTCTTTTTTCCATTTAAGCAGCTGATTAAATGATGACTGAGCGGCTTTAGCTCATGCTGACAACATCAATATAAAACACACATTGTCCTCAACCGCAGATGCTTTGTGAAGGAAAACAAAGACACCTTTTTCACTTTAACTGTGACAGCACTGGCAGGACCTCAGCCTGAGTCACTCATGTGAGGATGACTGGTGGGAACAGGATGAGAATGAGGTGATCATCAGGCATCAGCGAGGACAAGAGAGACTTAGATTTGTCAACAGAAAAAAAGGTCACTCAGCCTATTTCATCAATATACACCAGCAAAACAGACTGACAATCAATAGTACCATATTGAGAATACAAGATTTTTTTTTGTATTTTTTTGTCATGATTTGGCTAAATATCACAGTGTTGCCAATAAGGATTAACTAAAACTTTTCAATTAGGGCTAAAAAAAACACATCAGCTTTTTGTTTCTCATGCAGACTCACTGTAGGGTTTTTTTTCTGCCTTCTACTTTTAAACATACTGAATTCAATCTGCTTTCTCAACAGGAGCGTGTAAAATATAATACTGATATCAAACATTAAAGTACAGTTACAATAAACCACCATTTGACAACAGTATAAATCACTCAGAAAATCCTGAAACTCAGCATTATTTGACACATACAGTCATCAGTGTATCAGAGCAAAACACCATAGAGATAAATGTACTGGAAATGTAATCAATTTACAGTCAGCTCAGATAGTCATTTGGTGCCACAACAATCAGTACCACATAATGTAAAGGACTTTTAAAAAAGGGCAAAGTTTAATTAGAAAAAGAAAAAAGTTAATATTTCGGGTGTGCTAAACGTCTTTGTCACTGAGATCAACCACAGAGTCACTAACACTCATAACAGACATCATAGAACAATACAGTGCCAATCTAGCCAGACTAAGCCTATCTTACCCCCCTGACTTGATCTGGTTACCTGTGTTTAGTCAATGTATTATAAGAGCATGAAGAGTTGGAGTCATATTGGCACCATATGTGAAAGAAACCCTGCACATTCCCAGTCCAGGATGTTTTATTTTTAAGAACCTGAGGGTATAAGTATGAAGAAATGACAGGTTTTTTTTGTTCTAAACACTTTCTTAGTCAATTTGATCAAATATTTGGTCCATCTAAATTTAAGATAATGGTGCTTTTACTAATTTTTCTAAAGCTCAGTTAACTTATTTAAAATGTTTTTTGTATTTTTGTTTTTTCTTGCCTGACCCAGAGTCGAACCCCCAAATTAATCCATTTAATATACAAAGTAAAGAAAAGCAGCATATTCTTATAAAAATCTAGATTGTCCTTGTGAATGTTACTGTTGTCACATGATTTCTTCTGCCGAAATTGTAACATGATGCTAATGTGCCTCCCTGTTTTCATCACCCCTCAGTACGCTTAAGAGGCGGATGAACTGTTTTATGACAAATGTTCCCTTTCCTATCAGAGGAGCCAAACAAAGGCAAAATGACAGTTAAATAACCATTATCCTGCCAACACCTGTGGACCTATTATGCTCATTTATAATTGAATATGTTTGATGAGGATAGCTTTGTACGATTCACAGTTCAGAGTAAACCTTACCTATCTTATGCTGGGCTTTGATGAAGCTCTTAATTTTATCTTGTCTGAAACAAGTAGTACAAACTTCAATTACCAACTTTCTTCTGATTGGCTGCCCTTTGCAAACACGACGTTTAAACATAGCCGGAGAGACCTGGTATGGTACCTGAAGTGACCATACCAGGTATATCCCTCTTTTTTTTCTCTTCTTTTTAGAGTAGAACGATCTGTCTGAAATTGAGAAATTAGAGCAGAGCCTGAGATTTTGGGCTTACTTGCAGATATTTTGAAACCACTGTTTGAATCTTTGGTCATGACCATTGCGACAGCCATTCATATCACAGAAAGCAGTAAAAGCATAACAATTCCAGTTTTAATGACAGACAACGATGGCATTCCTTGCAGCAAATCTGTCTGAACTGGGCACAAAGCAGAAATTGAGGAAATTCAAGTTCAGTAGGCCAACTGTATGGCCGGCTGAGATGCATATAACACAGGATCAGAGAGTCCCTGAGCACACGCCCTCCCTGACCAAAGGTCAGGATTCTTGAACAAGGAACAAAGGAGGCTGTCTCATTGACAAGAGCAGCGTTTAGTGATGAAACACTTCTCAAAACTGCAGAATATGTAAGACAAAGGCCTCAGTTTGACTAACCATATCAGCAAAGGAATCATCTGCTCCCCACAGCTGATGGATTACAGCACCAGTCAGTCAGTGAGTACAGCTTTAAGCACCCCAATAAATCACACAGGTTCTAATATTATACAGCTATATGACAACCTGACCTATCAAAGTCTAATCAAGTAAACATGATGATCACCGCACCGCATCCACGGTGAATCAGGTTAAACGTCCGTATGACACTAACGCCTGTCAAATCCACAGTGGTGTACAATTTCCTGCAAGAGGACATTAACCTTAAATGACACCAAGGGACTGAGGAACAAAGTAAGGAGGAAAAAAATACCCATTGTGTCCTTTGTGAAAGTTCTCTCCACAGAGGTGAAAACACTGATTAAAGCTGCAGGAGCCCCGGAGAGAAACTAATCTGCAGTTAGTGAATATACACAGAGGAGACATTTAGGTCAAGCATTTGTTCTACTGTTTTGACAGTTGCCATTTCTTTTTTCCCCCAGCGCTGGTTATGATATCAACAACATAGTGTACAATTAAATGCAGGAAATAGATACCAGAGAAATGCAAAGAAATACGCATATGCAAACAAATTAAAAAGGCATAAAACATAGTACCTAGGATGATCACTAAAGTGAGATTGACTCTAATGCTGGTTTGCATAACACAATAAAATGACAGGTGAGTTACTGTTTTTGTGGGGACACGTACAGCTCTCAGTTTGGATGTGGTGGAGGACCAGACGGTGCATGCTTTTCAAAAGTACTCCTACACTGTATGTATGATGCATAAGTAGAACACAGGTCATTTTGCATTAGTTGGCTCCACTGGACTCAAAAATGCTGTGACCTTTAAACCATTGCATGCCCTGCCACCTGTCAGAAATGAAGCTGTTAATATGCTTCTTACTATTAAGGCTGATGAATGGATAACACAAAGCTGCCTGAGGAGTAGCACCAGGAAGCATTTTGCATTCAACACCATGGATTCAATCAAAGGTGTTTGCTGATATTAAATGCACTCATCTTACACTAATGTTAGTTACTTAGGGCAGCAGAGACATGACAAGCTCATTTTCATAAAAAAAGTGCTAGTGTCAGCATTTTACTGTTTACAGTATCCCATACCTGGATGCACCAAAGAGGTCTGAAAGTGGTTTTTTTTGTGTGTACATGATGTCGAGTTGTACGTGCCACCCACTTTTGATTCAGTTAAACTTATTTATGTCTAGAGAAGACATAAAGTAAATCACTACCGAAAAAAATTGATGTGCTAGTAATAAAAGTAACAATCACTACAAATTAAGCATGAACTTGAACTGCTTAAATAATTAGTGCTCAACATAAAGGTCCTAAAATGTTCCCCCTCCTATTGTGTCTGTTTCTATTGACTCTGTCTGTCCAGCATATTTTGCCAATTGCAATTTTTTATGTATTTATATTATACAGTCGTGTGAATTTATTGATCTTTTGACATATTGGGGGAAACATTTGGTCCCTTAGGAAACAATGCCTGTAGATAAAGGTGATATCTATAAGGGGGGCGTACCAGTTGAAAAATCCACCTGGGAATTCAACTAAGACGCACCACAAGTAGCCACAGACACACAGCTCACAAGCCGCAATACAAAAAGGCTCTCTGGCACTAGAGCGCTCCTCTCTCTGGCTTTAAGCACTCGCCACAGAAATAGCTGCACAAAGATTTGTTACTCCAGGCTGGAGAATGAGCCGGATACATCCTCTGGAGAAAAATCACAGCAGGCCCTGCTAGGGTGCCGATAACAGGCAGCTTTTCAGGTGAAGAGCCTCGTTAAAACTGAGCAGGTGGCTTACATGATGTAATTACTGCTATATTGGGCAACACTAGCTTCTGATGTATTTGATTTTAAGCTTAACTTCTTTTGCTATTTTTGTTCAGCAAAAAGTTGAGCGATTATCTTCAGGCATTATTTCAAAGATGACCTGGTTTTTGCTTGCTCCAGTATGTAATAAAAGCTAGCAATTTCCATGAGATATACTTACTGTGTCACACGACTGTAGATATATATATACATTAAGTTCATTGTTTATACTCTGTACGTGTCCTTCATTAAGACCTGAGAGAAAGGCCAACAACAAGATTGAGGTAGGTAACCATAATGCATCAAATCAGTACTTGTGCAGCAAATGACAACACTGAGCAGAGAGCCGGCGAGAGAAAAGCCCTGTAATTGTTTAGCTACCCAACAACCGTCCATCTCCCTCAGCCAGCTCTCTGTCTGTGCTCGTCAGCATTCAAAGATATTATAAGCACCTGAAGCACATAGTCAGCGTTGACAGGAGGGAGAAGGCCGAGCAGCAAGTATAGTTTTGAGAAGAGTAACAGTAAACGAGCTTAACCGGCAACTGTTACGTCTACTGGGCACCAGAAGAGAAATAAAAGGCTACTGCTGCGTTCGTGAAGGAGGCTGGAAATGTGATGTGAAAACAAAATAAGAAAGTGATGCTGACACAAATATTCAGAAAAAGTTTAGAGATACACTGCTGTCAAAAAAAAAAATTAGAGCTTTTTTTGCTTTCTTTCCAGAGGTCAAATACCGCTCTCATATCTCTGTTGTCAAAACTACAGTTAAATATTAGATAACAGGACAAAATAAAAGCAATAGCACATACGTGCATTTAATACATAAATCTCTTCCAAATAGTTGTTTTTAAGCTTTGGCTTTTTTACATATTAAAAAAAAGATATATTTAATAGCATGTGTTAGAGAATTTAGATTTTTAATAGCTCATCTAAGCGTCTAAGAGACCGGGGATGGTTAACAACAATTTTGGAATTAGGGCTAGGCTACTTGCCAAACAGCTATGACCTTAAAACTGAGAAAGATCAAATGAGAGCGGTTTCATCTGCCAACAAGAAAGCCAATAAGCAGATTTTCCAGAAATATGATCCAAACTATTCGCAGACACGGGCCATTTTCTGTTAACATTTGTGCTCAATTTAGCTTTATCTTTTTAAAAACACATGACATCTCATCTCATGCACAGTTAGTCTTTAAGATGTCATTGACAATGCAGTGTATCTCTAACAGCCTTGTCATTCAACTGAAGCAACTACGGTGGAAAAAAGAAATTACAATCTTTAAAATAAAGTCAAATCTATCAAAAGGCTTACAATAGATTAGCATAATTCATACATATTTCCAACACACCGTAACCGTACAACATGTTATCAGTCTGTCAGCTTGCATGAGGTACTGATGCTGTATCTACAAACACCATATTCACCAACAGAGGGAAGCCAGGACTTCACAAAGGGCCAAAAGAGGGTTTTTCATTATGCAATAAACAGACAAACAACAACAACAGCGACAACATTAACATTGTTATCTTGAGGTAGAACATTAATTTCAGCATTTGGAAGTGCTTTATGTTGGATACTTTTTTTTTTGTTTTCTTTATTTTTCTGTTTTACTTCGACAAGCAGGAGAAGAGAGATGATTCTTGACATCTGAGGTAGAGCGGCACCTGATTTTGTCACTTCCAAACCAATTCCTCTGCATGTAAAGTAACTGTGAGCTCAGGGGAAGGTAAAGTCCCTAAAAGCTTCCCACTACACATTCATTCCGGCTGAGGTAGGTTTCTTTCTTTTCTTTCTATCGCAAGGTTCACGCAGCCAAGTCTAACGCCTGCATGAAGGCCGAAAACTCATAAAAAAAATTTTCGAAATCACTGAAACAAAGTCCTGAGGCAGAATATATCGAATCCCTGGAAGAAGGCTGAGATCTTCTGTGAACAAGAAGGTGGAATCATTGGTAGGTGAGAGTAGGCAGCAGGAGTCTTTGACATCCACAGAAAAGTAGAGATAAGACCAATAACTTATAACTGCTTTGACATATAAGTGATAAAGATATAGTGTATATATTTATATATATACATATATTTATAAACTTAAAAATAAAACCATTGTATAACAAGGACATTCTGGGGCCTCTGTCTTAGGTGCTGCCCAACACCAGCAAATTAACCAAAGACCAAAACAAAAACTAAAAATTCATCGGGCTTCAGATATACAGTCCTAGATCCTCCAGAACTCCTTTATAAAAGAAAAAAGTCTTTGCACAAAAGGAATGACGACTTTGAAAAAACAACAACAATCTGTCAACCTGAGTGAGAGAAAAGTCTGCGTGGACACTGGACAGTGTCGTGTGAATTGGCCTTCATACATTATTAGCCTTGGTCCTGCTGAGCTGCTCCTGCTACAGGAGTCTCTCGGAATTGGGTTTCCCTCTCCACGGCAAACTCATCCAGCGGTATCGTAGACAGCTGGGTGTTATTCAGCATGTAGGAATCAGACTGAAAACACGTGCAAACAATCAGACTGAGTATATTTCATTTAGTTTCAGCTTAGATAGAATATACTTTTTTTCCTTTAATTAACATAGCTTTCCTCACTCTTTTCACTCTGAGGACCTACCATGCACATTTCTCTTGTGTTCGGCTGCATGAAAAGGCTCTCGAGCTCATTGCTGTCAACCGCTTTCTTCCTCGCCGCGCTGCCATTGACCTCCATCTCTCTTCTGGCAGCCCCGTTAAGCCCAGAGGCTCCCTGGGAAGACGAAGAAGAGTCCACAGCAGCGCCGTTCCCTGCCTGGGGGGTGGCCTGAACTGTCTTACACATCATTAATCTGGGGATTACACGAACATGCACACATTAAACGTTTGCCTGATTCTATACACACGATAGAAATAGACCCTTTAACAGCAACTATTGGCAAGTTATTTCACTGGCACCATTAACTGCCGCATGAATGTGCACGTCGTGCTAGTTCTGACCTGCCACGGTAGCTGAAGACGAGGAAAAGCACGCAGAAGATGATGCAGGTAATGCCGATGTGAATGCCGATTATGATGCCCGTGGTGGATGTTTTGCCCTGCTCATCTTTCACACAGTCGCACGGGCCGTCCAACACTGAGGAGATATTGCACACAACACGGTCACATCACAGCTGGGTGAGCTTGGACTGTTTATGTGGCATGAAGGTCAACTTGACTGATACAAAAGATGCTATGTGAGACTAATCTACTTTCATGCTCCGTATTGATGTGGGCAGTGTGTAGCGGTGTGAAAATATTTCCATTATTGGTGGGTCACTGCAGCGGTATAAGGGGTAGTGGCAACAAGTAAAGACATCTCTTCTGTGAGATCGATATACGGTCATATTTAGCTCAAATCCACACTGTACTCCAACCACGTTTAGCCCTTATTTTGAGTGATGATTCTTGTGATTTATTGGGTTTTTCGAGCTGTCATCTCAGCTAAACCATGCCTCAAGTCCTGGACCAGTCTGATAAAGATTAAACTTGGAATCCAAGTAACAGAGAAACAACTTTGTGGAGGATGGCTTTGGTGATGTACACCCACAGCATGCTAGATGATGCAAGATTTGCTTGGCCTTCACTACACTTCCCCAGACTGCTCGTAGAATCTTGCAGCCCACACTGGGCAGACCTTTTGTGTTAAAGGTCCACTTCTTCCAAGATAAAGTGGAACGATAGAAATGCAGCAGCAATACTTGAAAAAAAAACCCAGCGAATCATTTTTAGTGAGGATGAAGTGAGTCAGGTATGTCAGCTCATATGCGCCATACTGAGGATCAGAGGGCAGAAATCATTTGATGAGCCTGTGTAGGCCAAAGTCTACACTTTCAGACAGATACGAGATTGGGAGAAAGAGAAAGAGGCGAGAGCCCCAGTAAAGATACTCTTTTTATAGCAAGATCAAAGGAAGGCGTGATATAACTGTATTTCTCTTTATCTTTGTAGTACATTAGTCTCTTGTATTCAAAAAGCACACCTCGAGAGATCCAAATTGCAGGATTGGCCAGGACTTTTCAATTTTCTACATTAATATTGGGCAAACACTTTTTCTAAATAAATATACTAGACAAACAGACCCTCTGTGATCTAGTTTTTCTCGCTGGCATCACTGAAAGATTAAATCCTGTAGTTCAAAATGCATTAACTCAAAATGCAGATCCAATAAAGGAAACATTTAAGTTTTTCAGAGACACTTCGCTTCTCTCAAATGACCTTTAACCATTTATTTCCACTCCGACAGTTCATTCTGGGATTCAGATCATGAGTCCTGGTTTTGGATTTGTCTTATTTGCTGACCCATCTTGGAATGACACGCCATTCATTACTTTTTTCTTACATTTCCAGGCAAACATTTATTTTTCTTGAAATATTTTTCATCCTACCTAAATACCGTCAGAAAGACTTATCACATCAGGCTCACAAAATCAATCAATATAAAAAGGATTAAACCCGTGGACACGTAGTCTATGATATATAGAGATGATGCATATGGGAAGCCTCTCCACCTCTGGAAATAGACATTGGTGAGATAATCAGATGACCTGTGGGACAGCGCCATCTCACTAATCCATACATCATCATGTGCATGATGATAATATTTGATTTATTTTTTAATTCACATCATAGTATTTGATTCAAACTTCAGTTTTGTTTTTCCAATGAAACAATAAATGCATTTCTATTATTCTCAGTTTATTATTTTCCTTTTTGTTAGGTGTATTGTTATAATCTTTTTTCTCCACTGTCTGTCTTCCTGAGATTTTTTTGTCCTTGGACAACGTGATATGGAAATGTGGGCAGACTGTACATTTCCATATATCCACATTTCAAGATGACTGTATTTTAAATGATGGAAAAATGATAAAGAAAAATTCACCTGATTTGGCCACTGCCTCCCGAAGTGAAACAAATCGTATGGTGGCATTCCCGTCTCCATGCTGGTTGTGAGCAATCAACTTTATCTCATAGACCAGTGAGGAGTCTGAACAAAAGGAAACAAAGAAAGCAATCAAAACTAAGCACCACGAGCTGTTAGTGACACATATTTTTAGCTCTTGGCAAAAACAACTATGTAAACCCACTAAAGTGCATTAACAAACCATTCTGCATCACAGGCCCGCTCATCAGCGCTTACGACGCGTGACGCTAATTACCAATAAAAGCAATGATACAGTCAGCTGTCATGTCTCACCCAGATGAGTGATGTTGTACTGGGTGACGTTGCGAGGGAAGGCGATGGGCCCAGTGAACAGTGGTGTGTGCGCTCTCCTGTAATACAGTCTGAAGCCCTGAGGCTGGCCCATCTTGGAGGAAGACTCCCATGTTGCTTGTACAACACTACCGTTCACCACCTTTGTGTAGAGGGAAGGAGGAGCTGGCACTGCAACACAAAACAAAATGTAAGCCAAAGTAGTTAAACAACTATCAGAAATTTGATCAGGTGTGGGAAAAATAAAATGTGAGCAATAATATTTTTACTTTTTTCCTCAGGATGAACAAGCTCTAAAATATAAAGCAATGAGAGCAGCCCAATTTGTCTTATGTTTTATGGATGTTCTGCAATAATTAAGGTGAAATCGTGTGTTTTACCTGTGCTACAAATCTTGTGGGAGTCTTGATATTTCTAATTTTTTTTTTTTCCGCCAACTCACCCTCTCCGTGAGTGCTCTCTGTGACACTGTCCGAAGGTTTGCTGGCCCCATGGGATGTGTAGGCCTTCACATAGAAGGTATAATTGGTGGAGGGCTCCAGGTCCCGGATGATCTGCTGCAGCGTGACCTTACTGACAGCCTCCTCGTATTCCATCTCCGCCGGGTCTGAAGGAAGAAGGGTGGAGGGAGAAGAGGGGGAATAAAAGAAAGGAGGAGCCAAATTTTGAAACGATTTGTAAGAAAAATAGGAAAGACATAATTGGGAAAAGGAAGAAAAATGGAAAATAATATGTTTCTATTAGCACTTGTGCTTACTGCCCACTTCAGTGGGTTTTATCAAAGCATTTACAGTATTTAATAGCTAATTTAGTATCGCTCTGGGCCTCAGGGTGAATTGCAGGGGCGGCATAAGAAGATGGAGGGAGGAATCGGGAGAGTTGTTCAGGATGGGTTAAAGCATTTTATTGCTTTTAATTCAGCAATTCATCCAACCATAACCACTATCTACATCTAGCCCTCAATCCATTGGGCCACGCCACGCTGGAGAGGAAATTACAGGAAATACTATTAGTCGTCTCCCAGGTCCCTTAATGATCAGTTAATAGATCAACTGAGGGGAACATCAGCAGGTGCTACAATGGTCTCCCCATAAAAACAAGTAAAAACATACATAGTTAATTGTACCATACCCACAAGGTAAAGAAAATAAATAAATGACACATGCATTTATCAAGTAGGCATGTAGGGACTTTTCTAGACACCAACTGACAGCGGAGAACCAATGTAAACATCCGAAACAGTTGGGGATCAGAGATCAGTCAGTCTGTAACCCCCTAACACAGAGTGTTAAGTTGATTCTGTTCATCTGGACGTAGCATTTTCAATAGGAGACACTTTTCATCATCCAAGTGACTTCTTCAGTGCAGGTTTCCCCACCTTATAAACAGTACATGTGCATAACAGCCGACACTGGCACCATTTGAGGCAAAGTCGGTTTCATGACCTTTAATAAGTAAATTGTCATGATTATTGACCAATGACCATGGTGAACCTACAATGTTCCTACAATGGTGGATTCTGAGTTGGTCTTTCCCTTCTCACGTAAATGGCATCCTGGACTCAAAGCTCAAACTAGCCTTCCTCTCTGTCCCGGATGTGTACATCACAAATAAAATGCAGATATAGCAAATATGCTATAAATTAAAACTCATATATGGAAATTTTTTGTGAGAAGGTTTAATAAACACTCCGGCACTTATTTCATGGTTCAGGCTTTAAAGGGCTAATCTACAATTTTGCAAAGTTGATTTCTCCCTGGAGGTTTGAGGTCACGTTGTTGAATTTTGCAAACAGTTTGATTCAAGGTGTGTGTTGGTTGCATCTTGTGAGAAAGGAAAACTGAAAATCACCACAAAAACAAATTATCCTTAAATATTATGAAGCTGACATGTGAAAACAGCTTCTTGTTGTTTTTTGATTTCTTTCCTTTCTGTAGACCTTGGATCCACCTCTTTGTTTATCTTTAAACAAAAGTATGTGTCAAGGTAATTCAGTGTAAAATACTAAAACATGAATTTTCCATAGGCACCATATCACCTTGGTCGTTGTTTCTTGTTTCTCATTTAATATTGACGCGATAACTCTTCCAAAGTCTGACACACCAAACTACACATGAGATTTGACATCCCTCATACTCTACTACTAGAAACCTGCGCTTACCACTAATGAAGGGTTTTACCTTACCAATAATTTGTATGACTGTTACAACGATGGCTGCTAGTTTGAAGTGGCGTGATAAATAAATGAAATAAACTGAAGTAAAGCATTAGCCTGAAGTGATGTGTGCGTGCGTGTGTGTGCTTACAAATCGCTTTTGTGCCTCAGGACTAGAGCTGGGCGATATGAGATTTTTTCATATCACGATATGTTTTTTTCATTTCAGTTGATAACGATATCTATCACGATATAAGCCAAATAACTATATTTGTAAGATTTAAATGTGCCGTTGCTCACAAGTAAAATGTGAAATAATCAGCAGCTTGTTTTGATTTAAATATTTATTTCTCATAATAAGTTCAACAGGGTAGATGTACTTAAGGAACATGAGACTTTTCCAGATAAATAAAGGCAAATATTGCAAACTACACAAAAGGCAGCCGCTAAAGCGTTTAAGTTTCAAAATAGAACAAACAAAACAGACTAAATTGTCAATTCCACTTAGAAACAAAATATTAATTCTAAAAATAAATCTTAGTTTGTTTTACAGAAGAAGAGACAAAACTGACTAACTTTTGTCAATATCAAATAAACTGAGAACTAAAAGGAAATTCTCAATCTCTCCTTGTTGTATAGCTTAGCTTTTCAAACAGTTTTAACAGTTACTTTAGTCTGACAAAAGCCGAATGACGAATTAGCGCTTCCAGTCAGAGACTGAGGCTACGTCCACACGTACACGGGTATTTTTTAAAACGGAGATTTTCCGTTTTCGTTTTAAAAAATAATCCCGTCCACACATAAAGGCAGAAATGAAGGAAAACGCTGCTATGAACATGCCAAAGCAGCAGGTGGCGCTAGATTCCTAACCGTGCAGAAATGTTGGCCAATCAGAAGTCTAGAAGCCTCGGTGGGAAAAAGTAAACAAAGCTGGGGCATAGAAGCAGAACCGGGTCGTATGTGTGGAGGGACAGTAACTGTGTGTATATATGTAAGCATTTAAACACTGCAGAGAGTAGAATTAACAGTAACAGTATTGTAGAAATTCATTTCACCGAAACAATAACGTGGCGCACAGTGTGACGCATGCACCAGTTTATTGTATTTCCAGACTTGCTTTCGGCACAATTTACAGTGCACGCTACTCTGTTTTTTGTCAGACTTGAAATAGCCGAAATACCTTCACACTACGGAACTTCTATGGCTCTTCCGTTCAACAATCTCTCCGGCGTTGGAACCATCATCTGTTTTCTCTTCGGTCACGCTCGGTTGATTTTTCTAGTCGGCACACTCATTTCCTCCATTACGCGCTGGCTCCATTACCCGCTGGCTGCTTCCCAAACAAACACACGTGCGGCTTGGCACTTGTGCTGTACGTAACAAGTCACGCGACGTGACGCTGCGGCTGTGATTGGTTCGGCTCTGCGCTACTTAATTTGGATTGGCTGACCTTTTTTTTTTTTTTTTTAAAGAGGACAAGAGCGGCGAGGTCTATCGCGATAGCTTAATTTCTCTATCGAGTAAAAGTTATATCGCGATACATATCGTTATCGTTCTATCGCCCAGCTCTACTCAGGACCATCTTTGCCTGTGTCAGTGCCGTTCCTCATCATTTCATTACTGTAGCAGCTTATTTACATAATTGAATTATAATGAAAGTGTGGCAGCGTTCTCTTGTTTGCTGCCATTTGTAGTTATGCGAATGAATTTAGTCGCATCCATTCCTAATTCTTCAGTGAAAATGTCATGGGGCTCCTCAAACACTTATTTACTTTCAGAGCTGATTTATTCCACGTTAAGAGGCCTGTGTTTTTTCTGCCTCCTCTCATCTCACCTGGCATGCCTTTTGACACTGACATCATGTCACACTTGTTTTAACTAAAGCTTTGCTTTAAACTGTATCTGGATCTTCAAGAAGCCCCACCTGAGGTCCGGCGGATGTGGAGCACATAACCGATGATGTCCTGAGTGTTTTTATCAGGTTCCCTCCAGGACACCTGTATGGTGGTGGGGGAGAGGGCCTCTGCTTCCACGTGGGTGGGAACGCCAGGCAGTCCATCAGCCCAGAGCACCGTGAGGCGGGCACTGGCCTGCGTAGAGCCCGCGCTGTTCTCAGCGATGCATTGGTAGATAGCCTCGTCATTCTGACTGATGCCATATATTGTCAGTGTGCTGTGGAAGCAGCAGAGGAGAGAAGCAGGAAGCAGAGAGTGTGGGAAAGAAGAAAGGAAACAAGGAAGTTTAGTTTCTCTGGTGCAAATGTGGAACATAAGATTCTTACTATTGCTTTACTAGCAGTGCAATAGCTGCACCTCGTGTTTGAGCAGGTGAATTCGCTGCCTTAAATTCTAACTATGAGGAATTTAGGTGCCTTCTTTAGCCTTTAAACCTATCACGTTGATTCAGTGCCAGTGATAGCAGTAATGCTTCTTACAAACTGTAAGAAAGAAACTGTTCTGTATTATGTGACTCACATATTTGAAGTTTAGATGAAATGCTACAAAAACTGTTAAAATCTGGGGAAAGTAACTGCCCATGTTGGCTTAAAAAAACAAAAAAAAAACAGGAGTTGCAAACATTTTTAAGTTTAGATTTTGAAATTTTCTGCTCACAGCGTCAACAACATATCCTCTTTAATTATAGCATCGGGGGCAGACCCATGGGGTGGCCATGGCAACCAGACTATAAAGTCTGACCTCCACACAAGACCAGTGGTAATGACTGGTTTTCTCCTTGGAACTTTCTGTTTACAGAACTGTTTCTCTACAGCTACTTTTCCTTCATGTACTCATTTAAACAGTGAACTTTTTAAAATTGTAAATATCTTATGAGCTTTACAGTATCAGCAACGGTTCACAATTAAAAAGGAAAAAAATGTAAATCGTGTATATTAAATAAGAGCGAGTGTTAACAAAGAAAACCCCAAAATACAAAAACTGTTTTTCCTGTAGCGTTTTACCTCATCTCTATGCAAGAAATGAGCTCAACCTCCCCACCATTATAAAAATTGTCTTGCTCCAACACTGTGTAGTATTCTCTGTACTGCTGTCCAAACATTACTACTTATTTTCACAATTTTAATTTTCAAAACCAACTTTTGACAGTTTACACACATAAATTGCAAGAATAACGTTGGAACATTTTTTTTAAAGTTGTCATTACACAAGTGTAGCACACCGTAATGTCTTTGTCCAAGAGAGCTGGTAGATTAAAGAGTGCTTAAGCTGCTAGCTGAAAACATCAGCCATCTATACAGTAACATGCATCTCTGATGGGCAATGTCTAGACAAGTCCTTCTAGGCTCCAGCGCACCTCGAGGCTGAAGTCTTTATATGTCATAAACTAAAAAGTAGTGTTTTTAAATAAAGTCTCAAGAGGTATTCATGCTTGAATAAATCCATTTAATGTAGTATATCTTTCTCCTGGTAAGGACCACACAGAACAAAAGATGACTGTGACATAAAGTCAAGAGCACGAGTTACTGTGTTCAGCTGGGTGAGAGAAAAAGTGATTTGTGGCACAGACAGCAGGCAGCAGCAGTAAGAACAGAAGGTCCTCAATCATGCGGAGCACATACTAGATTCATCATGAACTGAATCTCCCATGGCAGTAGATAAATTTATATCAGTGCTTCAAAAAAATCAAATTTGCCCACATCGGTATAAACTGTGACATTTCCATACACACATGTGAACTCTACCTATGGACACACACAAACACGCACACACTTTTCTATCAAACCTCTGACACGCTGCTCTTTGTCCTCATTTTTCTCTACTTCTATCGCTTCCCTCCTACCTGGGTTGTCCTCAGTTATAGAATAAATATAGGGGAGCACTGTGTGTGTGTGCATGTGTTTACCTTATGTATGTACATGTGTAGGTTGTGTAGGTGTTTTTAGACAAGAATACATAATCCACTTTTCACATTCTGCCTGTCTTCAAGCAAAAGAAATAAATAGTAAAACATTTAACATACTACGGAAATGAGGCACTGCAGTGTAAAGCATTTCTTCATGTCATTGTTATGTCAAGGCCATTTCTGCTGTATTTAAAGTATAATATATGCTGAACAAAACATGAATATGAAATGGACTGAGCTATACCTTGAAGATGGTGCACCCCTTGGTCATATTATTTCTCGAGTTCAGAAGCATTTGCCAGATAAAGGGAAGTAAACTGTCGGGTTTGTGGCTCTCACGCTGTGTTTTAACTTTAAGCGAGGAAACTGAATGCAAACTGCAATATCCCGCTACTCCAGTTTGTATGAGTTGGTACATCAGAATGTGACTTTTCTTTGATGAACAGGAAGCATTATATTAAATAAACTTTCCTCACAATGCTGCTATGAGGAAAAGAAATCAAAATATAGATGGGCTATTAGAAAGTAATGAGTCAATCTTGAACTATCCCTCTTCTCTTTATATTTTGCAGGAAAAATGGGAAATAGATGTAGTGATTTAACAGTTCTAACAACTCTATATATTTTTATGTGATCACCTTTATTATTCAATGAACTCGCTTAGGCAAGCTTTCCTGTAACTTATTGGTTGGTCTTTAGGAATAACTCCTGACATTCAAAGTTTCAAATTTCATCACTCCATCAGACCTCATCCATTTGCTTCTGCTTATCCTTTTTTAGGGTCGCGGGGGGCGCTGGAGCCTATCCCAGTTGACATAGGGCGAGAGGCAGGGTAGACCCTGGACAGGTCGCCAGTCTGTGGCAGGGCTAACACACAGAGACAAACAACCATTCACTCCCACATTCACACGTATGGGCAATTTAGACTGATCAATTAACCTATCCCCACTAACTGCATGTCTTTTGCCTGTGGGAGGAAGCTGGAGTACCCGGGGAGAACCCTGGCAAACACAGGGAGAACATGGAAACTCCACACAGAAAGATGGTGGATGGATTCCTGATGGTGGAATTTAGGCCCTTCTTGCTGTGCGGCAACACTGCTAACCACCATGCCACCGTCCTGCCACGGTGCTGCCATCACACCTATTGCCACTAATTTTCTGTCCAGTTCTTGTGTAATTTGGCAAAACTCAGCCTTTTATTCCTGTTTCCCTTCCTTAAGAATGGCTTCTTGACAGCCAGCACTAGATGGATCAACTGAAGAGCCAGATGCATCTGTTAGGTCTGTGTCAGGTCTTTGCTGCTTATTCAGATACCCTTCATCAGTTTTTTAGGCCACTTCTTCTTTTGTTTTCCACTTGTCTGGTTTTATCAGATTTTTAAAGGACATGCTGCACACCATGTCTGACAAACTGTGTTACTGTTCACAATTTTCATAGAGTCGCATAGATGGGAACAAATTATGTGTTTTGTGACAGGCTCGTCCTGTGCTTTGTGCTTTAAGATAGAATTTGTTTTGGTTGTTATGTGTAGACACAACGCAGGTTCATCCTTTGAGTAAGGTGCCCTTTTTATGGTGACTTATGGTTTAGGGGTCAGTGTTAAATGGCTTAACAAACAACAACAAATTCCTCTAAAAATTGTATAAGGAATGGACTGAAAACGAGTGAAATAGCAGATATTGTCCAAAGACCCCGGTAACATTACAGGGAGTGCAGAATTATTAGGCAAATGAGTATTTTGTCCACATCATCCTCTTCATGCATGTTGTCTTACTCCAAGCTGTATAGACTCGAAAGCCTACTACCAATTAAGCATATTAGGTGATGTGCATCTCTGTAATGAGAAGGGGTGTGGTCTAATGACATCAACACCCTATATCAGGTGTGCATAATTATTAGGTAACGTCCTTTCCTTTGGCAAAATGGGTCAAAAGAAGGACTTGACAGGCTCAGAAAAGTCAAAAATAGTGAGATATCTTGCAGAGGGATGCAGCAGTCTCAAAATTGCAAAGATTCTGAAGCGTGATCATCAAACAATCAAGCGTTTCATTCAAAATAGTCAACAGGGTCGCAAGAAGCGTGTGGAAAAACCAAGGCACCAAATAACTGCCCATGAACTGAGAAAAGTCAAGCATGCAGCTGCCAAGATGCCACTTGCCACCAGTTTGGCCATATTTCAGAGCTGCAACATCACTGGAGTGCCCAAAAGCACAAGGTGTGCAATACTCAGAGACATGGCCAAGGTAAGAAAGGCTGAAAGACGACCACCACTGAACAAGACACACAAGCTGAAACGTCAAGACTGGGCCAAGAAATATCTCAAGACTGATTTTTCTAAGGTTTTATGGACTGATGAAATGAGAGTGAGTCTTGATGGGCCAGATGGATGGGCCCGTGGCTGGATTGGTAAAGGGCAGAGAGCTCCAGTCCGACTCAGACCCCAGCAAGGTGGAGGTGGAGTACTGGTTTGGGCTGGTATCATCAAAGATGAGCTTGTGGGGCCTTTTCGGGTTGAGGATGGAGTCAAGCTCAACTCCCAGTCCTACTGCCAGTTTCTGGAAGACACCTTCTTCAAGCAGTGGTACAGGAAGAAGTCTGCCTCCTTCAAGAAAAACATGATTTTCATGCAGGACAATGCTCCATCACACGCGTCCAAGTACTCCACAGCGTGGCTGGCAAGAAAGGGTATAAAAGAAGAAAAACTAATGACAATCTGAACCCCATTGAGAACCTGTGGTCCATCATCAAATGTGAGATTTACAAGGAGGGAAAACAGTACACCTCTCTGAACAGTGTCTGGGAGGCTGTGGTTGCTGCTGCACGCAATGTTGATGGTGAACAGATCAAAACACTGACAGAATCCATGGATGGCAGGCTTTTGAGTGTCCTTGCAAAGAAAGGTGGCTATATTGGTCGCTGATTTGTTTTTGTTTTGTTTTTGAATGTCAGAAATGTATATTTGTGAATGTGGAGATGTTATATTGGTTTCACTGGTAAAAATAAATAATTGAAATGGGTATATATTTGTTTTTTGTTAAGTTGCCTAATAATTATGCACAGTAATAGTCACCTGCACACACAGATATCCCCCTAAAATAGCTAAAACTAACAACAAACTAAAAACTACTTCCAAAAACATTCAGCTTTGATATTAATTAGTTTTTTGGGTTCATTGAGAACATGGTTGTTGTTCAATAATAAAATTATTCCTCAAAAATACAACTTGCCTAATAATTCTGCACTCCCTATATTGCTAAGAATTTTACACAGTACTGCAGGTATCCTCCTAGATTGGTGAAAGGGAACATG